CGGTTAACCGGTCGGTCAGACCGGTCGGTCAAACGGTCGGTCAGAGGTCTTTGACCGACCGATATCGGTCACGGTCATGACCGGTCATAACCGGTTAATGACCGTGACCGTTGCCATCCCTAGACATAACCTGGGGCATAGAAAGTAAAGCCTGATTACCAATGTTTAAGTTTAATCCCGTTAGTCAATAAATATTCTTAAAATGTTCGTGACATATTATTTAATCTTATCCGTAAATAGTTATTTTGTACCGTACGCAACACACTAACCCAGATAAATAAATTCTTGATTGTCAAATTTGGTTTAATTTTTTGCGAGATTCTTGAAACATGCTTTATGCACATGCTGCTACAGTCAGGACTCAGGAAAAAGGAACTTTAGCTTACGTAATCATTCATAAAAAATTTTTTTCTCTCAGTTGCTGATTAAAAAAAAATAGACAATATAATGGATAAACTATTGTTATATGAAAATACAATAAATAATGATGATCTTATTCTCTTTCAGGCTTGAATCTTGGACATTTTAAATAAAAATGTACTTTTAAAATCCGGTTTCACAAGAAAACTATATATACATATATATGTTGTGCGTCAGAATCGTCAGATGCCGATTTGCGTCAGATGACGCTGGCCTACATTATCAGCCCAATATTGCCCAATATTATAATGCCTAAGTGGGTTGGCCAGACTTACTAGGTCAGCTGTCATCTGACGCAAATCACACAACATATTACAAACATCTCATTTTATTTCTTTTTTTTGATATTATATATATCAGCAGATTAAAATGATTGTAGATTTCCAATAACGAATAACGAATACACGCGTCTAAACTGCGAATTTAATATCATTACATATATTGGCAGATTAAAGTGATTGTAAATTCCAACAATGATTAACAAATAAATCCTTTACATCTGAGAATTTTTTATAGTTACATATATGAACAGATTATCATACATACTGTATATTTGCAGATCAGTTAAATTTATTCTTTCGACTCTAAAAGGAAAGTTAATCCGTGTAACCGGAGCTTAAACACCGGTTGACTTGGTAAGAAGTGAATTTAAGTTAAATAAGTGACGATACCACCACACGAATATTTTGAATTTTCATTATTCTATATTAACTACAGTAGACGTATAAATAATTTGAATTGCATATGAAACACGTGATGACTGCACCCGTATTTATTATAGATAAATCATATGCATTTTTGTGGCTAATCCAATTCCGGTTAGTGAAATTTTGGCCAGATATTTTTGCACGATGTATGTGATGTATGTGCAGTATGTAATGAATATATTATTTAATGTACTGTATATGTATTGTCATTCACTCATGTTATAATTAAGATTTTCCCGCAGTAATGAACTTGAAACTGCAAATATATAACGCTAACGGTAAAAAGAAATTGTTCTGCATCAAACTTTGTAAGATTTAAATGTAGATGTATCCAAGAATTTTTTCGTAACAAAAGAAATTGTTTTATTTTGAATATGGTGACATTTTATTGGAATAAAACATGTTTGATAAAATGTTATATTATTATGTAATGGTTATGTGATTATTGTTTAGATTTTGGCAAATATGATTGAAAATGCCTGGTTTTCGGATTTATGAAATACCCCAAAATTTGTCCGTCATGTCAAATTAAATATTTGACAGTATTTTAGTCACCAAATTCCCAAATTTATCAATGAACAGTCAAAAATGAGCTATAAAAAGTTTTTTTGTGCCCCAAATCTTGTGTCTAACTAATTTTCCTATTATCTAACCAATTTTTAAGACGCGTCATTATTTGACATTTTTTAGGAAAAAATCTTAATGTTCCTGTAAGTCAATTTAATTCCCGAGGGCACAGCAGGGTTTTTGCCAAATTTCATAAATCCACCGCAATGACAAAAAAGTATATCTATATTTATTCTTTTTTCATATATATATGTGTGAAATATATAAATATATGTAAAAAAAAATGTCAAATGAAAAATGTTAAAATGTTATGCATATATTAAAAAAAAAAAAGAAAAGATAAACCGTGAATAAATAAGGAACGAAAAAAATTTACACTTTCCACTATCACAAACATCAGTAACTGGAAATAGTAAAATATTATTATAATTATTATAATTTATTTATTTTCATAATATTTTTTTTTTTCCAAGTTCATCAGCTGTAATGTTATAACAAAAATTGTTTATTAAGTTCCATCGCAAAATGAAAAACATTAAAAGTATAAAAATAATGAAAAAAACGTTTATTACACTCTGTACGATTTAGAGTATTTGGTTAACAAAAAAAAAGATATAATCATTAATAGGCTAATTGCAATGCCATGTAATGTATTTGGAAACAAAAGATTTAACAATAATATTAATAGTTTTAAAACCAAATAAACCAAATTTTATGGAAAAAAAGCCCAAGAAGGGGGGAAATTAAAAAATTGATCGAACAAAGTAAATTAAATTGATTTAAAAAAAAATTAAGTTCATTAAAAAAAACTAAAATAGTTAGTTACGTGTATGTCGATCAAAGAAAATTATTAAAAAAATTAAAAAATCGAGTTAAGTCAATCAAAAATAATAATAAAAAAAAAATTAAAATAAATTTGATCGGAAAAAAAATTAATTGAAAAAAATAGATCTGTTAAACCGGTTAATCAGTTTAAACCGGTTAAATATAAATATATAATCGGTTAATCAAATCACAATCCGGTTAAAAACCAAACCGATTAAAACTCGGTTAAAAATCCGGTTTTCAACTTCTAAATCCGGTTTAAAAACCGCAAAAATTATTATTGAAAAAAAACGGCCTTAAATTAAAACAAAACCGAAGAGAACAAAAAAAAACAATTTTTTTTAAAAAAAAAGAAAAAAAAGACGGTTTTAAAAAACCAAATATGATTAATAATAACAAAAAAAGGATTGGCCATCGGAATGTGCATATGAACAAACACGGGCGCAAACGTATCACGGGTTTTCATGTTACATAATTCATTTATACTACAATTTATTAAATGATAAAAATGATTTAATGAGTGAAAATTAAATGCATGATACTATTAAGTATCAAGAAAAATGATTTATTAATCATGAATATAAAGGATTAAATCTTATATATATGTATATATAAATATAAAAGTATTATTATTATATCATACAAGAAATTTGTATTATATGTACATTTATACTATTTTTAATATGTGATTATCAATATCATTTCTAATACCGCGAACTTCATTGCGAACTCCATTGACTTCACTGATATAATAGGTAAGCAATTCCTTATCACAACTATCTATTTTCTCTGAAAAGTTAATATTTTTCCGAACTTTTTGTTCATTTAACAGTAAGTTATCAACCAAATCTCTAATTGTACGAAATTCACCTTTAAGAAGTTTCTTATCTTTTTCATTCATTTCATTTGAAAACTTTAATTTTCGATTCATTTTATATTCTTTATATATTTCTTGATTTTTTGATTCATTAAACAGGATGCTATTGA